GCATAGTCACGAAACTATGAGTAAAAGAGTTTCAAAAAATAAAAACCCGGGCACGGTGAAAACCCGGAAGGGCAATGTGAGTAAAAATGGAAAGAATAAGGGTGGACATGGCCGAATGGTCGTGGATAAAAGAGCCCCAAATGAAAGGAAGTTGGTGAAAACCGTCTTTACGGCGCCGCTTCCCAAGTCTAAGTGAAAATCCGTAAAGGACGCTTGGATCAATAAACAGGTTGATGCAGCACTCACTTCTACAGGAGGCTTCAACCCACATTCTAAAGAGAAAAATCCCTAGTGTCACAATATCAGGACCAAAAAATACAAGCATTAAGCAAGATTCCAGCTTGAGTCCATTTACAAAAATAACTCGAAAGACAGAAGACTCACCAAGAAGGCAAGACAAGTCTCATAAGGAAGAGCATCATTCCCACAAGGTCACTAACACACTCCAAAATGCTAAAGACACCTCAAGAAAAGCCAAAGTCAGATAGAACTTGGACTTGTATGCAAACAAAACGGCTAGCAGTAGATATGGGTTATACTCACAACTGGTCACCTCGATAAATTGAGTTACCCAGCCCATCGAGTACAATATGGTGAACCACACAAACAGATGTCAGCCAAAGGCCCTTCAACAAACCATCCACAACAAACAACAAAACAAACAAACCCATACCAAAATGGGAAAAATGCTCTTCAGCATGGCACTCGACCTCCAGGCAAGCCTGATTTTAACCAACGAGGTCCCTACAAAATCCTTAGTTGTCAAAATCACAAATAATCCCTAAAGGGTGAGAACTTTGACAGGATCCCTCAAAAAAGTCTCTTGCCCCCCTACAGTCTCCATGGATGGACCTGTACATTGCATCCAAACGTCTAAGCATCCTAGTTACAGCATTGCGTGGATCTCCTCAGAGTTCACGTGGTCCTGAGGCTAGGAAGAAAAAATTAATGAAGCCAAAGGAAATTTTTTGAATGTTGTCCTTCTTGCTTCTCTAGAAACACAACATTCAGTAGGGCTAGCTGTTTGAAGACATTTTTTAACACCTTGGTCCACATTGTGGAATAAAAAAAGAGAAGTCGATCAATAAAGCCTGAATTCTAGTGGAATTCTCGACAGTCTCATAATTGCCGTAGAACGAGCAAAAATGTTCATAAGGACTTCAAAAGGCCACCTGCCAACTTTTGTCTCAATTTCAGAAAAATCAGTCTTTAGCACCCTCAAATGAGCCCTGTAACTAGAACTATATTTTTAGTGCATCAAATAGCTATGGGACTACTGCCATTGGATCCAGCGTGGTCAAAAAGCCCTATGGGTCAAGTTTCGGCTTAATCGAGCATTCTAGGACAAAGTTATGAGTAAAATATCGAAAAGGGGTAGGCCGCACACTATTCCCGTGCGCCCCTTCTGCACTAAAACCCCATTAAAGGTGACTAATTTTACAGTCTTGGGTAGTGACTTTCAAGGGCCATATCTCTCTCCTCCTCTTTACTCCCTCATCCTCTATCTCTTTTTCTCTCCTCTCTCCTCCCTTCTTCTCGTCTCTCTTTCTCCTTCTCTTCTTTCCTCTGTCTCTCTCATCTCCTTCTCAAACATGCACGGTAGTGACCATTGTCGTGCATGCCTCTCTTTTTCTCTCTCTTCTTCTTCCTTCCTTTTTTCTTCTTTCTTTTCTTCTTTTCTTCTCTCCCTCTCTCTTCTCCTTTCTTCCTCATTTTTCTACTCTATCTTCCTCACTGTCCCTCACTGTCTGTCTGAACGTGCACGACGATGGCAACACCCTTCATGAATCTTTCTCTCTCTGACATGTACAGCGATGGAAACGTTGTGCATGAATCATTCTCTCTATTTTCTTCTCTCTCTGACATGCAAGGCGATGGCAACGTCGTGCATGAATCTCTCTCTATTTTCTTCTCTCTCTGACACACACGGCGGTCGCAGAGCCGTGCGTATTTTTTTCTCTCCTCTTTCCTTATTCTTTCTGGCTCTCTCCTAATTTCTTTCTCTCTCTTCCCTTCTTTCTCCTTTGGCTCTCTCCTAATCTCTTCGTCCCTCTATCCTTCTTTCTTCTCTGATTTTCTTTTTATCTCGTTCTCTCTCTTTCCTTTCTTCTCTCTCAACTTTCCTTTCCCCTTCCTCTTTCCTAAAATCCTCTTTCTTCCTCCTTGTCTTTCTTGCGTTCACTTTGTTATTTCTTTTCTCTCTCCTCTTCAGTTGCGCACGACGATGCTCATTGTCGAGTATGACTTTCTCAGTTTTCCCTTATCCTTTGGAGACATGCACAGTGAGCCGGGCCTTAACCTGAGTGGGAGGCTAGGTCTCTGTCCATGTTTCTCCTTTCCCATGTTGTGCACGGCGATGATTATCGTCGCGCACGACACTCCTTTCACACTTTTGTCTTTTCCACTATCATGGATGGTGGAAGTCCATCGCCGTCCTTGTTCTTTCTCTCTTCTCTTTCCTTTGTCATTGACGGTGGAAGTCCATCGCCTTCCATGTTCTTCTCTCTTCTCTTTCCTCTGTCGTGGAGAGCAGAAGTCTATCGTCATCCATAATCTTTCTCTCCCCTCTTTTCTCTGTCATGGACGGCAGAAGTCCATCGCCGTCCATGTTCTTTCTTTCTCTTCTTCCTCTGTCATGGATGGCGGAAGTTCATCGCTGTCCATGCTTTTGTCTCCCTTCTTTCTCTCTTTTCTTCTCTCTTCTTTCTCTCTCTTTTTTTCTCTCTTCTTTCTCTCTCTTCTTCTGTCTCTTCTTCTCTCTCTTCTTTCTCTCTCTTCTTCTCTCTTTTTCTGTCTTCTTTCTCTCTCTCTTTTCTTTCCTTCTCTCTCTTTTTCTGTCTTCTTTCTCTCTCTTCTTTCTCTCTTTTCTCTCTCTTCTTCTCTCTCTTTATCTCTTTGCTTTTTTTTATTCTCTTCTCGATCTTCTTCCTCTTCCTCTCTAATTGACTAAGGGATAAATCTAGCACTGTCACAGTAGTCTCTTCGTCGAGCAGTATTGTCGCTATGCCCGTCTTGCTGCCACGTTAAACTAACCGTTGTGCCAGGCTAGTTGGTGTTGGTGTTGGTGTTGGTGTTCTGTTGTCGAGTAGTATTGTTGTTGTGCCGATCTGCGTTACCGTGCCTATCTTGCTACCATGTCAGGCCAATCATCATGTCAATCTAGCCACTTTGCTAGGTCAGTCACCTAGTCAAATGTCTCTTTCTTTTCTTTCCTTCTTTCTTCTTCCTTCTCCCAACCCTCATCTCATCATCTATTTTCTTTTCTCCTTTGAATGTGCACGCTTGTGTGCATTCACCCAAAGACAATGTGGGGTCCTTTGGGCCACTTATCTTGTAAAATTAACCATGTATGTGTGATTGCAGAAACAGGAGAATACAGGCCAAGGGAGGCAGTTTCGAACCAGTTGTAGAACTGGGGGGCTTTCTTCGTGATCTAAGAGGGGCCTATACGAGCCAGTCCAAATAAGTTCCGAACCCACATTAAATTCCTCTCTCATTGGTTGGTATACCTGCCCTTTTTCTTGAGCAAGGTTCTCGAGAGCACGATCTCAAGTCCCGGGTTCCCCTAAAACTCGAGACGCTGGCCGGCGGATCATCCAGATCCGAAGGGCGAGATCGAGGCACCTAACCAATTTGATCAAAGTGCATTCCCTTTTAATATACCTTCAAATTTCCATTATTGTTTTATCTTTTAATAATTAAAATTTATACATATCGTGTCTTATTTTTTGCATATTCCTCTATTAAAATCAAATAACGATAGATATATATCTGATTGGGCCTACTACTTGTTGCCTACCCCTGATTTTTATTATATTCAACATCGATGCATGGAATTCAAACCATATTTCTCGTTGCATATTTATATACTCTCTCATTACAAAATCTCATGATCAATTGCAAGATCAGTTATTGCATATCAATGTATTCTTGCGTTGTATATTTATGTGATTATTTATATAGTTGGTCATTGCATTACTGCATACTCTCTATTGTATACTTACCCAAAAATACTCTCCATTGTATATTTACAGAACTATGTACACGACCACCTATTCCATTCATGAAACGTAATCCAACTAGTAGAAAAAAGTTTATAATGAGACTATTTACCTTTGGTACAAGGTTAATTTTGACTATTAAATGTGAAATTGGGCAGATATATTTATTCTATTAACCAAGGTCAAAGTTCATAAAAAAATTACTCAAATTTTGTTTCATACCCAAGCTATCAGATTTTACAACGAAAAACTATAAATAATTGTAACCTCCTTGTACTAAAGATGAATAATCTTAATGTATATAATCCCTTACTAATATCATTAAAATCAACATGGATAAATTGCGAGAAAGGGGCTGGGTTGTGGTGGTAGCACCCTTACACTCTAGTCCCCATATTGTGGTTTTCATTTCCATTTACGCCACTCCACCATTATTTTGGAAAAACTAACTCCTAAACTATTTGAAAAAACAAGGGACTAAATTTAAAAAAAATAAAAATAAAAATAAAAAAAATTGATAAAAAAAAGATAAATTGCAAACGGTTGGCAACTGTAGAGTAGTTTGGAGCGTTTGCACTTGTGAAAATTAACAAACAACCGCTGTACCTTTCACGTGCTTCGATAAAGCTTGGATCGTCCTTGTATTGTTACTCGATTTGAACTAGGATTTAACAGCCCAAAAACCTGAGGGTAGAGGAGAGAAGGCCTCCACTTTTGGAATTTTATGAGCATCGATGATTCTTAGTGCGGTCCGCTCTGCTGCTCCATCAACGTGCAGCGTACACCTAACTCATGTCATCTTTTATTATTTATTATTTCACACCACTCATTCCATTATATACTTTTCTTGCTTACGCAAGCATACAACGTAACAACCCATTTCCTTCCCTAACTTCACGATAAGAAATTAAAATTAAAAATAAAAATGGGTCGCCTTCAACGATTCTCGATATCACCCGCTCCTCTAATTTAGACTTGTTTATTAACTTAGACTTGTTTATTAATCACGCATTCAAGAATTCAACCAGTGCGTGAATTGGCCTTCAGCTGGATTTCTTGAAAACGTCATCTGCCGGCTGCTGTAGACGGCTCTATTTAAAGAAGAGGAGAGGATTTCAGCCTGCTGTAGACGGCCCCTATTTAAAGAAGAGAGGAGAGGATTTTTTATTTTCTTTTCTACTGCTGTCGGCATCCACTTTCTTGGCGGACGCGTTTTCAAAACTGCACAAAGGTTAGGGTTCGTCCTAAAGGCAGAGTTAGTTTCATATAATGTGATGCAGAGGGATATACATGGGGGAGGTTGTGATGTAAAGGGATATACATGAGGCGGGGGAGAGAGATTGTTTGAAGTAAAATTGAGAGGGGAAATGCGTGAATGGCAGAAGGCTTTAGCGGCTGCCATCCCAGCTGCTCTGCTGTTCGGGTGTTTGACCATGTATTTTTGCGGGTGTTGTTGCAAATGGAGGACTTCTTCTTCTAAACAAAAACAGCAGCAAAAGGGGATTCAGAAGCCTAACGTGAGGTATGGAGATGGGAGCCGCAACAGGGTGCGAAGTTACCAGTGGTCACCGGCAAGGGGGCCGTCTTTCGACTGGGCTGACCATCCTTCTCTGGTAGCGGAGGCCGTTGAGAACGGGTGGACTGCTTTTGCCTTTGCCACTCCCCCTGCCCCTGTTTCTAGTCGCTGGATTCTCTGTACAGGAGGAGGTGGTAGTGCTCAGCCTGAATTTAGTTGGGAAATTGGACCAGCTTCTCTAGATTACATGCAGAAAATAAGGCTTAATCCCCAAATCGATTCTACCAGAAGCAACAAGAACTGGGCCGACAGATCAGTCTCCGTGGTTCGGGGTGCATTGCCTTTGCCCGGACCTCCGTTGGGTTCCTTAACCTTTCCACAAGAGGCATATTTTGAGGTCACGGTTTTCACTACGCCACCAGATTCTTGTTCTCCGGAGAGGCGTTTGGCAGAAGGAGAGAGCGTGAGTCTCATCTCAGAAGCTGGTATGAAATCAGAGTCTGATACCCTATACGACGTTGAGAAGCAGAGCGGCATCAAGAACAGAGGCCTAAATCAGACCAACAGTGTGCCTGTTGTTGACGAAGAGGGTTGGTTGACCAAGGTGATCGCCGTCGGCCTAACGCATGGGGGCGACACCGCTTATGCGAATGGAGTGCCAGGCACCCATCCTTGTGGCTCTGTGGGTTTCCATTCCACTGGTTCTGTTTACCTAAATGGTATGTAGCACGCTCCCCTTTCCCAGACCTGAAAACGAACCTATCAATATTTGATTAGTATCATACAAATATGACGGATTCATACCCCAAAAATCAAGTACATGACAAGTGGAAGATTTCACAGCTAATATTTCAATCAAATATTTTTGAAAATCACCATATATGCAATGGATTTTTCTTTCCTTATATTCACAGTTGGTTTTCTTTTCTTGAATTGCATTTTTCTTTACAGGGATGAAGATCAACAGGAGTTTAGAATCGCAGGGGATGGCAAGATGGGGAGAAAAGGAAACAGTGCTGGGATGTGGGTTCAATCCATCGCAGAGAAAAGTATTCTTCACGCTGGATTCCAACTTGATCCACACAGCAGACTGCAAATTACCAGAGTTTGGGAAGCCATTGTACCCAACACTCGCTGCGAATTGCGAGGTGAGGCTGATGGTGAATTATGGGCAAAGCCCCTTCGGCTATGCTCCATCCAATGTTTCCCGCACACCCAACCCAGGCTTAACGCTGCGGCCGACATCTTCCATGGCCAGGACATTGGATAGCACCGAACTGTTCTCAATGGGGAGGATCGATTCTCAGTGGCTGAGCAGCCCCGGTCCCGGAGACCTGATCGAATCTGAGGCCTGGAGGATCGATTCTCAGTGGCTGAGCCGCCCTGGTCCCGGAGACCTGGTCGAATCTGAGGCCGAAACAGAGCTATTCGAGATCGTGTTAGATGACGGCAATGGTAGAATTATAAAACGAAAGGAGGCGACCTCGGAATCATTCAACGAATAAAGAGCGAGGGTCATCCATCATCGTGCATCGTAAGTCAGCAGGGTGAGGAGGGCCCGCACCCGGTTCACTCACTTTAAAGACCGACCAACAAAGTGAAAGGAAATGCGGTAGTCCCCTCTTGTGCTTCAACTTTTACTTGGACTCAATCCCGTGGAACTTTTTTGAATATTCGGTTGGAAGCCCTATTTTCAACCCTTTGACGGGAAAATTTATCAAAATACATATGGCAAAATGTAAAAATGTTGAGGTTTGAAAGCACGAACATTTGACAACTTGAGAAACCGTGGTGTCCCTCTGGCTTTTAACTATTTCTGAACTGACAAAAAAAAAGAAAAGCATGAAAAAAAAGATCCGTTGTTCGCTTGGCTGCCCATGGGAAAAGCTAGACGAATACCTTTTTCACTCGGTTAATTAAAAAGCGCATCCCCACTAAAAAGTATGATATAATAGTTTCAAACAAAATAAAAAATAAACAAATAAAGAGGCTAGGGTGGTGGTTGTAGCACCCCATATCCATTGCCCACATTGTGGTTTTCATTCTCAACACTACTAACACCATCCCGCTAATACTTTCAAAATGCTAATTCTCAATTTACATAAAAAAAAATTGAGTAAGGGCCTATCTTCCCCAAAAACAAAAATTGGAGCTTGTCTTCCCAATCTCATGCCCTCATCCCCTTAGTCTCTCTGCACCCAACCTTTGTCTCGCTCATGCTCTCAAAGCAATACCTAAGCTACAGGCCAGAGTAATTTCTTCGTACTCTTTCATTTAGTTTTTCCTCTAAGATGTGTTGTTGCACTATTTATTTTCCTGTAAATCAATTGCACGAGAATGCACATGTATTTTTTATCTTGAATAATTGTCTTGCTTATGAAACAAAAGAAATATCTACAAATTTTGTGTAGGAAGACTGTAATACATATACTATGGAATTGTTTATGGAATTGGAACTGAACTATACGTTTGGACCTGTTATTTGGTCCCCTTACAGGGATTAATTACCCAACTCTATTTACGGTGGTGGTTGGCCTTTTATTTTTCCTTGGAAATTTATATATACACCCTTTAACCTTACTTTGTAGGCATGCCACCCACCAATGCTGTGTAAATCACACTCCTAGGCCCCAAAGCTCTTTATATTTGCGGCTACCTCTTAAATTAAAAAAATATTTGTTTTTTCTTTTCTTTTTTTTATCAAAATACCCACGTTTTAGGCCACATTTTCCAATTTTTTTCCCTGAGCAAATCCGTACAAATTGTGCTGGTCGGGCACAACTTTGAATATACAAACGGTTCGGCATATTTTTTGTACCAAACTGGTTTTATATTCAAGTTGTGTGAGATAGGCACAATTTTGTGTCGGACTGACAAATATTGGATCATATTTTGGAATCATGGGTTAAAATGGGTGGACACTTTGGTGAAAATAATTACTCTTTTATTTTACGGGGTAGTTGCAAATTAAAATAACCTTGGGATTAATAGTGATGGGGAGGAATCTTAGAAGGTACAAATTAGGTTCTTTTTTTATCTCGTTTTTTTTTTTTTCAAATTTATGTTTCCTATTTGCTGTCGACTCTCTAGAAAAGTCAAAATTTAATTACAATTCAATTAGACTGAGTAGGCGTAAGTGAAGAACAGAGGTGCAACAAGAGGCAAGATCTCAACATACACATTTTGCAATATGAATTATATCTCCATTACATCTTAGAACTTAAGAGGTCTCGTGAATTGACTCTCTTAAACCTATCTCGACAAAAGGGACATGACTGTGACTGTATGTTCCGATGGAGAGACAGAGGGTCCCATGGAGCGAGAGATTAAGGTGTAATGTTTAGAAAATCGACTCGGATAAGGTACTCGGGCCTTGGCCAAGGCGATTTATTTAGACGAATTCGAGTAACTCACCCAAGTCTAACTCATACTTTTTTTCTAAAGAAAATAAACATAAAACGTGATTTAATTCCTGCAAAATATGACACCTTTCAAAAAGTGATGGCGCGAACCCCATTCTCGTTGCAAAATATTGGTCAAAGTTAACCGCAAAGCCATTCAAATGTATATCAGTAAAATTTATCCAATTAATATAAAAACCTTTTGTAGATATTTTGTACAACCTAATCGCCCAAAACTCTTCTCCAGGTCTTAGAATGCCACTGAGAGGAATACAGACACACGCACGTGTAGAGAGAGAGATTAGTACTCATAGTAAGTTTTCCTAAGCAAGGAAGAGAAAAAAAGAAGGTATATATATATATATATATAGCAATGATCTAATGTAACGGTTGTATCATAGAATAACGCAACGACACTTCTAAAAAACCATGTTTGTGGTATTTGTATGACCCAAAATTTTACACACATACTATCTTCATCTCAATAATCAATCCCCAAAAAAAAAGTTTAATTTGAACCTAGATATGGTCAAAATGAGTCTTTTCCAAAAACGAATCTAGACTACTCATTTGGTGAATTACAAGATCTTGGC